TGTACATACAGGCACAGACACACACACAGACACACACACAGACACACACACAGACACACACACAGACACACACACAGACACACACACAGACACACACACATCCACTCACAAGGGTCTGAATAAAAACGCGCGTACTTTTGTTTGTGTGTGCGCGTCTGTGTGTTTATGTGTCGGTATATAATTAATATGGACCTTTCAACCCAGGAACGTGATTTTCACAATAACTCTGTAACCTGCTGTTTAATTGATTCGCCTTCAAGTTAAAGGACTCGTCTGTCCTGCCCCGTGTTTGAGTGACGTGTGCTGACAACAAGCGACTATTGTAGAACACGAGGCAGATGTGGTTATCAATCAGCTTATCAAAAATATTATTAAAGGAAAAAATGAACAATGAAAACAATGACAATAACTGTTCTGAAACATTCCAATGGATTAAAACATAACTGGGTTTTTTAGTTGTTTTTTATTTTTCGTTTTTTAGATATTGAAAGAAGACATTGAAACAGAATGAGCGTCTTATCTGTGTTGTTGCTAATTGATTAGACGTTCCCGATTTCCCACTGAACAAATTCTCAAAAACCGTCGTCATGGACACCGCAAAGGGACTCTGAACCTCGAACCTGTACAGGTGTTAAAAAATTCAGCTTTAACATTTGTCGCAGTCTGGCGATTGTCCCCATGAGGAAGATCACAATAACGTCGTCCAAAATGCCTTACCGGAAAAAATCTGAAATTCCCAAGGCATGGAGTATGGAGACGCTCCCACCCCCTGGCATGGTGACGTCACGGCCACTACGGAAAAAGGGTTTATTTCATACCCAGACCTGTATGGAAGGCAGTTGGCAGGTGAGTTCTGCAGGTTTTTACGGATTGTGTTTGTTTTGCATTCTGTTTTGTTTTGGGTTTTGGGGGATTGTAAGTTGGTTTTACTTTTTAAAAAATCTTATGTCATTTATTTGTCTTTTTTGTTGTTTATCAATTTTTCCCGTGAGGTTTGGGACGGGCTGGGGGTGACAAAACTCAATGCTGAACCCAACACAAAGTGTACTGTGTTAGAAAGCGAGAAACCAAAGTTCATGGAAACTTGCAGGTATTTTTGGTGATGATGGTGTGTTATCAAATACACAAGTAAAAATTAATAAAGACATCCATACCAGAGTAGTAAATAATAGACCCAACGATCAAACTATTTTCGCTCTATAGATATTTGAGCAATAATACGATGTCTATAAGCTGAATTTTTACTATTTCTGCGCAAGTAAATAATATATTCCCAAATGCTATTTCGAAAACAGACCCGAGGACTCTTCTTCGTTCGAGTTAACGTAGTGTTTTAAACAAACATTCTTTACCCTAATCTCCCATATTTTTTCCTGAGTATTCCGTAAACCTCGCTCTATTCTTTTGGAGTTTTTTTAAATACACGCATACTTACATTTGTACCAGTGGGTGATTGGAGGGTACCACTGGTAGGTCTTTTTTATTTCCTTTCCCCAAGTTGTTTCTGCTTATCACTCTTACTTTTTCCCAACTCTAAATGACCATAAATTGTGTCGATGTACTTCTCATTACTTAAAAAAAAACCAAAAAAAACCCCGCTAATATCTTATTCAGTGCTTAGACAAATCCGCAAACTCACAATCGGTATATTGCTGGTTACTCTGTTGACGATTTTTTTTTTCTTTTTTTGTTTTTAGTAGTTTATGTAGCTATGTCTGTTCTGATCATGCTGACTCACTGTGGCATAAAACTCTAACTCCAACAGCCAAGGCACTTGCAGATGTAAACTCACGCACACACGCACGCAAACACAAACACAAACACAAATACACACACATACACACACACACTCACACTCACACTGGTATCGGCTTGATCTGGCAGTGCCATTCACGTTAGGAAACCTGAGCTTTGACACATGCACACGCACAAGTAGGTACAGCTCAATGAATTTGTGTCATGTACAGTTAGGGAAGATAAGAGACCACACCCACAATCCTTTGTTCACATTGAGTCACGGTATTTCGTTCCACTACAGTTTTATTATCAAACTACTGATTTTGAATTGCCAACGAGATGAATGTTTGTGGAGAGTTTTCATGACTAACCACCCACTTAGAATTACCGCAGCCCTATTAGAGTCGGTCGTTATAGTATAATGCCCAGTCTCTCAAATAACCCGACCACGACGTCAACAGAGACGGTAAACCTATAATATTCTCTCTCTATATATATAAATATATATCTTTGTAGATAGATAGATAGATAGATAGATAGATAGATAGATAGATAGATAGATAGATAGACAGATAGATAGATAGAGAGGGGGGTATAAAGATAGAGAGAGAGGGATAGCGAGATAGAGAGAAAGAGAGATAGAAAGATAGAAATAGATAGGGTGAGGGGGAGGAGGAGAGGAGGGGAGAGAGAGGAGGGAGGGGGTTGAAAGAAAGCGAGAGTGAAAAATAGAAGAGAGAGAGAGAGAGAGAGAGAGAGAGAGAGAGAGAGAGAGAGAGAGAGAGAGAGAGAGAGAGAGAGAGTGTATGTTTGAAATAGATAAACATGATTTTTTTAAAAAGATTTTTAAAAGTAAATGTAGGATAAGCACAAACGCTTTTAAGTTTCCGTATCATGGCGCGATGATCGATGAAGTCGAACTAAGTGACCCTAGAACGTATAATGATATAGCACCATCCGAGGAGAATTCACCCTTCTTAGTTGGATGACTCGAGTCTCGAAGGACGTCTACATTACCGGGAGCACTTCTTGTGGCCGAAAGCCCTGTTTACAGAATGGTAGCTGAGTGGGTGTTCCCGGCAGGTATTCAAGTACCACTCGGTGACGTCATAGCAAATCACAAATGTTTTCGGAATTGTTCGGAAATTCACCCCCCGAGCGATAGAGAACAATGATGCGTGTTTGTGTATGTTTTGTTTTGGGGGAAGAGAGGGGAGAGCCGGTGCACAGTCAATTAAGGCACACACTTATGAACGTTTGTTTGTTTGTTTGTTTGTCTGCTTGTTTGTTTCTTTTAAGTGTATATATTATTATAGGCCTGCGATTTTGTGTGTATGCGTTTGTTCAGGAAGTTAAGAGACAGGCTTCTGTAGTGTAGCGGTTAGACGCTTTGCTGTCGCACACCGGAGACAGTGGGTGGTTGGCGGGTGCTCTGGTATGGTTCGCTTCTTCTTTGCTATCAAACACCTGTCTTCTTTATCTCCCCTCCTTTTTTCTGTGTTTGTTACTCTCTTGTAACACCTCTAATCTTCGGCACTTATAATATGACCTAATGGTGTTACAAATGCCGTAAAACTCTTACTACGAGCTCGTAAAACTAACACAGGAGGCCCGAGTTTGATTCCCGAGTGGGGACAGTTCTTATCAAGTATTTCGGTCTTTCTCCTGGGATGTTGTGTCCCTCTTAGGCCAGGTTGGCCTTGACTGGCAGAGTAAAAGCCTGCCGCCTCCAATATAATGTAAACTGTATCGATGTTGGTGTAAAAAAAAAAGATTGTTTAGATGAAAATCTGTTAGTCTAATATGTTATTAATATTATTATTATTATTATTATTATCATGTTGTTGTTGTTGTTGTTGTTGTTGTTGTTGTTGTTGTTGTTGTCCTTTTCGCCTGTTCACTATTTATCTGTTGTTGCGGGGATTTAAGTAATGATAGTGAAGATGTTTACAAGCTAATTAAAGAACAAGTGCTGCTTTTTCTTTTTCTTTCCTGTATTTTTAATACGCTATCAAACTCACACGTGGGTGGTTGGCAGGTTTTCTGGTGTGGTTTGCTCCTTCTTTCCTATAAAAAAAATATATTGTCTTTATCTCCCCTCCTTTTTTGTGTTTGTTACTCTCTTGTAACACCATTAATCTTCAGCACTTATATGACCTTATTTTGTCGCAAGTGCCGTAAAACTCTTACTAAAACACACCCAAAAAAACAACCCTCAAGCGACATCAGATCTTGCATCCTGCCAGACGCCAGCTACCCTCCACACATCCCTTCCCCCCCCCCCCCCTTGTTTTAAAAAACCTACAGTAAGGAAGACGTTACAGTGCTATTTCTTTTTTTTTCTCTCTTTCCTCACCGCACTCTTCGTTCACAATGTAGAAAGCATCATGAAACAAATAGTGCCATTTTACTCGCACAAGGCACTAGCCGAGTTTAGACACTCTCGCATCAGGTTCCCTGTAAAAAGGGATTTTGTTTCCTGGGCTCTATCCATTCGTCGCCGGGGAACAATAATACGAAATGGCAGACCAAATGCAGTTAGAGGACGTTCCACTCACTCCCACTCCCTCAGGTTTTTTTTACCTCCTTCCTCCAACCTTGTTAGTTGCCTCTTTGAAGTCTTTGTCTATTTCCGAACCCAACTTCGGCTGCTGGTTTCTGTCGAATTTGGCTAAATTAAAGGCCTATACTTTCGTGCTGAAATTGAATTGTCATGCCGGTTACCCCAATTTGCAGGAATTTTTCAGTCTTTCTTTACTTGGCTCCAATTTTTTGTGAACAGTCACAGTAGTGTTTTATGGAGCTTCTCTATTTTTTGCGTGCGATTTGTAACTTTTTAAAAAAGTTGGACGTCGTGTGATATGGTGGCAGTTGTCTGTCGTGTGTACTTTATAGGGTTCTTCTGAAACCATCGCCTTATTCTAAACTAGTTACTGGAGCACAATAATCACTTTCTACTCTATGGCGTGTTACTTTTATTTCTAGATGTTGTATTGTACGGAAGTCTTTCTTTCTCACTTTAGATACTGTGATTATGACTTAAACCGCCATCCGAGCTTACTTTTTTAACTTTCAAGAAATCGATACAATAATAAACAGATCCCTATAACATCAGTAATATTATAGTAAGACACATCTTTACAACTTCCTTGATTTCAAACGTATTAACTCTGTCTCTCTTCTGGAGCATATTAAGGAAGTCAAGATCTGAAGTGGTACATGGACAATCTCATTGCTTTATGTCCATTGCCCTTTTCAAGCTGTATCAAGCATACTGCCTTAAGGTTATTTGTCTAGACGCAAAAGCCATACCATACACACAGATACTGAGAGAGACATTGTAACAGCCTGCGGTAGAATAATATTACTATATTTGTTGGGTTTGTTTTGTGAGGTGTTTTTTGTCGTTGTTGCTTTTTTGTTGCTGTTGTTATTGCTGTTCTTTGTTGATGTTTTGTTGTTGTTATGGGGTTGCTTTTTGTTGTTGTTATGGGGTTGCTTTTTGTTGTTGGGTTGTTTTTGTGTTTTTTGTGTGGGTTTTTTTTTGGGGGGGGGGGGTAGCTTGGTTATTTAGGTTTTAAAAAACATTTCGCAGGCAACTTTCATTTACAAACCGGTTGTGACCAGTTGTAAGGGCAGTGGGAACATTAGTCACCCTCCCCCACGACATACTTCTGTAAGTGATTTCCCCACGAAATCGTCTATTATCGCCAGTAATGACCCACGATCTTTAGGGAATTGGCAACAAGTCTCGCCGGCCCACCAACCCTGATTGTCTTCGCCTGCCTTAGGGGCCAGTGCCCAACTTGCCAGAGCGTTTGATCTCTTGGGTGAAAATGCTGACGGTATATTTTGGCTCGCCACATAGCTTTTTGCTATTAATATCATTTTCCAGAACCACGTTCAATCCTCACCCTCCCAATCTCTGTGTCTGTCTGTCTGTTTGTCTGTTTGTCTGTCTGTCTGTCTCTCTCTTTCCTCTCTCTCTCTCCCCCCCCCTCTCTCTCTCTCTCTCTCTCTCTCTCTCTCTCTCTCTCTCTCTCTCTCTCTTTCTTTCTCTCTCTCTCCTTCTTTGGCTCCCAGAAAAACGATTGTCGTACGGATACGGT